CAACGAGGCGAGCCTTGTACATGAGAGGCACGGTGAAGGGGGAGTTAAAAGAAGAATGAGAAAAATGAATGATTTCAGTGTGCCCTTCATGTTTGTCTTGTTTTTTAATTTGTTATTTTTGCCTTTTGTTTTGCAAAAGTGTGCTCTTTTAGTTCATGGTTATGTGACAATATATATTTGATGATATATATGACGATATACATCTGTTTGAACTTCGACGATATGTATATATAATATATAATATGTAAATATTGTCAAACAGAACTTCCCGGTCAACCGTAGGCATAGAGGGAGAATAGGACAACAAAGAAAGGGCTGTGACAGAGTTTCACTGACTCAACCCTCTACTGTCTGAAGAGTCTACTAACCGATGATACCGAAAGTGATAGTCCACCTAAACCCGGTTGCGGTGAAGCACCAATCACTACCTGACAACTGGGACCCCACCAGCCGGACTGCCAGGCAGCCTTCCGGGCCGGTGTGGTCAGCCCATGTCCTGAAATAAGAACCAAGGCTCTCTCTCTCTCTCTCTCTCTCTCTCTCTCTCTCTCTCTCTCTCTCTCTCTCTCTCGTGTGTGTGTGCTCACATTGTGGATGTTGTGTACTTGCTTCCCCTCCACACACATTGCTTTTCCCGATCTCAACCAGTGACATGATCGTAGTCTTGCAAGCTCCCAAGATGTACGTTGTTGATCCTCCCACAGTCGTCCTCTGAATACAACATACCCTCATTATGAATGTATGCAAGCTATCTTTCTGGATGGATTCAGTCATGATGAGCATGTGTTATGTTTGGGTGGTGGGTCCCACCTACTGTGTTGAGTTGGGTTATTGTGGCATACTGAGTACCACACGGGCCCCTGCAGGGCCTGACCAGGTAGGATAGGGGTTCGGTAGGGGCCTTTCGGGCCCTGTGTCGGTTCAGAGTAGGAAGGGGCGCTTTTCAGGCCCTATGTCGTTTGGTCTCGGTAGGCCCAGTAGATAGACCCTGGCGCCTGTTTTCGGAACTTTTCGCACCAGACCCCGGTAGAGGCCCAGTAGGCACCCAGGCCGCAGTAGGCATTTTCGGTAGAAGCCAGTAGGCGCCCAGGCCGCGGTAGGCCTTTTTCAAATTCGACCTTTTCGAATTGGGGCACCAACTTTAGGCGCCAGACCGTTTGGGCGCCAGGCCCTGGTGCCATGCGGCATTGGTGAGGGAAGCCTCCCAGCCGGACCTGCACTATATACAACTGGTCCGCCTAGGAGGCTGGCATTCAGTCTTCGGGCATTCAGCAGCGGATATCTCCAGAGATGCTGCAGCGGTAGTAGGTGACGATAGGAGTAGTCTTCCAGCGCTGGGCGCTGCTAGGACCTTAGGGTACCGCTAAGAGGGAGGTGAGTGGCGGAGGCCAGGGGACTTACCAGGGAGCTTACCAGGGAACCCATCTGGTGCTTCGTCTTCAGTGTACCTGGATCAAAGCGCCACCTTTCACAGGTTAGTACTGGCACAAGAGAGAAAGAGGGAGAGAAAGCTCTTCTTCTTCTTCTTCCTCCAGTCCACCATCTCTCCCTTACCCTCTAGTTTCCTGACATCTCAGTATCGACAGA